CAGGAATGCGACGGCCTTCCAGTACCTGCAGGAGTTCCCCATGCAGATGCTGGCTCAGCTGGAGACCCTCGTGGGCAGGACAGCCAGGCACGGGCTCTTCGTCATCAACATGGAATACGGCAGGAACTTCTCCGGACCGGATAAGGACGTCTTCTTCTATGACCGGTCGGTGGGGCACACGGAGGATGCCTGGCAGTCCAACTTTCTCCACCCTGTCATCTACTACTATAGGGACCTCCCGACCGGTGAGCAGCTTCTGTCTGCCCAGGGGGCTTTCCTGAGGTGACACTTCTCACACCCGCCTCGGGGAGCCATCACCATTCCACCCTCACACACCTTCAGCTGCAGAAAGAGGACGAGGGGGTCTCGGCCTAGGGACCAGGCAAGGGTGGGCAGTCGGAGAAGGACAGACGAGGTGTCCAGACTCTGGCACAGTCCACACGTGGAATGTCACAAACTCCTCCAGGCACCTCGTAGTAACAGGGACATTTCATATACAGTGTCTTCATGGTGGGGTGGGGGATGAGTCTGGAGACTGCATGTTAGAAGGAAATGGAGCAGGTTAACACAGTACAGAAAAGGGGCTGAAATTCCCAGGTCTGTCCCTTCGTTGCTGTGTGACCTTGGACCATTAGCCACTCTGGTCCCCAACTGCCTCACCTGTGAAATGGGGATGACAATAGCACCTCCCCATAGGAGTGCTTGAGAGCAGATTTGATAGTATACACAGGAGACCTGCATGGTCCTCACACAGTGTAGCTGCAGTAAGTGAACAGCTGGGAGCACAGCTCCAGCTTCGGAACGTGAAGGGCCGTTGAGTGGAAAAGTGTGGTCTCAGCAGGGTTGTTCCCAAGAGCAGAGGTATTGTCACCAGGGAGAAGTGACAGGAAAGCAGGTCCAGAAGGAGCAGCAAGCAGTTAAACTGGTCGCCTCTGGGGCCAGCAGGTGGTGTGGTGATTAAAGCACTGGATTCCCACATGGTGAACCGTGGTTCAGGTCACACCCGGTGGCTTGAAAATCATGCCAGGAGGGTGTGTGTGCCCCCAAAATCCCAAGAGGAAAATGGAGGCGAGACTGGTGTGGCCAACCTCCCTGGGAGGCAATTTCTCACTTTTCCCTCCTCTCTCTCTCTGGTGAGCACACATACCCTATGGCCAAAACCTAAAAGAAAAGAAAAGAAATTGGCGCCTCCTGGTTTCCAGATATAGGGATGGTCCAGTCATGGCTCAATGGCCACCTGCCTGGGACCAACAGAGGGAGCCCATGCCAGGTGGCAAAGCAGACTCACGAGCTCTGAGACCCCTTTCAACACAGAGCGTCAGAGTCTTCTCGCAGAAAGAGCAGTTTTAAGGCAGCCTCCGCAGACTCGCTCCCTGGTCCATGCACGTCTGAGAACACACCCCGTCAAGCAGTTTGGCCTTGGTTCTGCCCCTGAAACCACAGGACAGGTCTAGTTCCTGTTACTCAGTTCTAGTTCCACATATGCAGGTCAGCTGCTGAGCAGGCTGACCACAGCCCAGGGCAGACCATATCAGGAAAGCTGAGAGGTCCGGGGGTCTGGGGCGTGTGTAGGGTCCCCACTGTGGTGGCTCCAGGATGGGAACCCAGCCTCTGAGCCCCGATGGGCCTCTCTCTCCTCCCCACAGAACAGGAGGTGAGGTTCCGCCCTGCACACTGGCCCCTGCCTCGGCCCACGGCCATCCACCACATCGTGGAAGACTTCTTGACAGACTGGACCGCCCCGGTCGGGCACATTCTACCTCTGAGGCGCTTCCTAGAGAACTGTTTGGACACTGATCTACGAAGCTTCTACGCAGGTAACTTAAGTTCCCCAGAGGTCAGAGACCAAACTGGAGGTTGAGGAAAGGCCAGATAGATCCGTGCCCTATGGCGTTACAGGGCCCACACCTGATAGAAATTCAGAGCTGAGAGCCTGTTTCCACACTGTGGTAGACCAGACATTCACAGAGACCCTCCCAGTGTAGCACATCTCTAAATATGGAATGATTTTTTTAGAGAGAGATTTTTTTGCTATAGGGTATGTGCACACGCCAGAGAGACAGACAGAAAGTGAGAAATCACCACCCAGGGAGGATGGCCATGCTGCAATCTGTTCTTCATTCTCCTCCTGGGATCTTGGGCACACACACACATGCGTGCCTGGCATGAGTTTTAAGCCCATGGGTCTGGGACTCGAACCACTGTCAGCCATGTGGGAGTCCAGTGACTTAACCATTACACCATCTGCTGGTCCCGAATAATCTTTTTAAAAGAACTGAAAAGAAAATAGGGGAACTCCCTGGAGGAAAGGAAAGATACTACAAAAAGCACAAACCACTACGGGGCCTGGATTATCTGCTGATCACCAGGAGCCTAGAGCCTTGGGATGGGAGGTCTGTTTAGAGACCCTCGGGAACCAGCAGTTACCGTAATGGCTATGTCACTGGACTCCCACGTAGTCGACTGCGGTTCATGTCCCGGACCCGGTGGCTTAAAACTCACGCCGGGCGCGTGTGCGTGCGTGCCCAAGATCCCGAGAGGAGAATGGAGGAGAAGGGATTGCGGCATGACCATCCCCCCTGGGGGGTGATTTCTCGCTTTCTGTCTCTATGTCTCTCTCTGTCTGTCTGGCGCCCTACAGTGAAAATTTCTCAAAAACAAAAAAAAAGAGAGACCCTCAATGAAGCTTGGATCTCAGTGAGGAAGTCAGGAAGAAAACAAAAACAAAACAACAACAAAACACCCTCCAAGAAGGAGCTAGAGAAATGGCATGCTTATCAACCCTAGAGAATTTGCAGTCCATAGGTTCCACACATGTAACTCTGGTGCAGAAATCATAGGCTGTTTCTCATGAGAAGTATTCTTTAACACAAGGATTCAAAGAATCCCATAGATTAAGTTCCAAGGAAGGCCCAGCCTCAGTGGTGTAGCCAGTAACTTACCAAACTGCAGTGCGGAGGCCACGTGGCCACCCTCAGTTCAGACCCCTGGCCTTGTGGACCTGAAGGTGCCAGCTGCATGCACATGTGCCCAAGATCCTGATGAACTGGAGGGCTGTGGGGAGGCGATCTCAGCATCACAAGGCAATCAAGGTAGTGCTCTCTCTCTCTCTCATGCACGCACATGTGTCTCTATCATGAATAGAATAACTAACTTTAAAAAGTTCTGAGGTGAGGCCAACAAGTGGCATAGCAGTTACGATGCTGGACTCCCATATGGCTGACCGTGGTTCAAGTCCTGGACCCAGTGGCAGTGGAGGAGCAGGGATTACCGTGTGGCCATTCTCCCTGGGGGATGATTTCTCACTATCTCTGTCTCTCTGGTAAGCGCACATTCCCCTAAGGCAAATCTCTCTTTTGAAAAACAAAAAAAAGGTCCAAGGAACATGAACTCCTAATCAAAAAATCACTGATGGGGACCAGCAGTTGGCATAATTGCTATGTCGCTGAACTCCCATGTAGTCGACCATGGTTTGAGTCCCAGACCCGGTGGCTTAAACCGGGCGTGTGTGCGTGTATGCCCAAGATCCCGAGAGGAGAATGGAGGAGAAGGGATTATGGCATGACCATCCCCCCAGAGGGGGTGATTTCTCGCTTTCTGTCTAGAGAGACAGAAAGCGAGAAACAGAGAGACAGAGTCTTTCTGGCGAGTGCACATGCCCTATAGTAAAACTTCTCCAAAAAAAAAAAGAAATCACTGAACACATAAGAACACGCCAGCACACCATGAGGAAGTGTCAGCAAAACAGCAAACTGTAGAATCAAACTCACAAAGACTGTGGGACAGCAGATGGCATGGAGATTAAGGCAGCTGGGTCCCACATGGCTGACTGTGATTCACGTCCTGAACCCCGAAGTTTAAGAAACCTACCAGGCACATGTGCATATGTGCTCCAAATCCCAAGAGGAAAATGGAAGAGAAGGGAATGTGAAATGGCCATCCCCTCTGGGTTGTGCTTTCTCACCTGAGAGAGAGAGAGGGAAAGATAGTACACATGCCCTATAGCAAAAAAAAGAAAGAAAGAAAGAAGAGAGAAAGAAACTTACAAAGACTTCAAGTATCAGATGGTCCGATAGAGTATATGAAGTATGTTTAATATATTCCAAGAAATAAAAGAGACCATTGACAATACATAAAAGTATAGAGACCACCAAAATTGACCAGGAAAATTTGGGAAAGATTCAAATAGAACTTCCAGAAATTAAAAAAAAAAAAAAATAGTTAGAAATTTGAGGGGCTGGCTGGCAGGTGGCATGGTGGCTAAGGGTGCTGAACTCCCACATGAATGACCAAGGTTCAAGCTCTGAAACTGACAGCTTGCTTTCTCGCTTTCTCTCTTTGTCCCTCTCTGGTCAAATTAAAAATAAATAAATTGGGAATCAGCACTTAGCATAATGGCTATGTCGCTGGACTCCCACGTAGTCAACCGCGGTTCGCATCCCAGACCCGGGGGCTTAAAACTCACGCCGGGGAACCGGCAGTTAGCATAATGGCTATGTCGCTGGACTCCCACATAGTCGACCGCAGTTCGCGTCCCAGACCCGGTGGCTTAAAACTCACGCCGGGCGCGTGTGCGTGCGTGCCCAAGATCCCTGGGGAGCCCACGTGCCCTATAGCAAAACCTCTCCAAAAAAAAAAAAAAGCACTCATGCCGGGCACGTGTGCGTGCGTGCCCAAGATCCCAAGAGGAGAATGGAGGAGAAGGGATTGCGGCGTGACCATCCCCCCAGGGAGTGATTTCTTGCTTTCTGTCTCCATGTCTCTCTCTGTCTGTCTGGCAAGCATATGCGCCCTATAGCTAAAACCTCTCCAGAAAAAAAAAAAAATCAAAAATAAATAAATAAAGGTAAATCACATAATTTTTTAAAGAGTTATAAATTTGAAATTCAATATAAAGATGTAGCCATGCATTAGAGAGAGAGATGAAGACAGAATTAGTGAACTAGAAGATGATTCTGAGAGCCTAATGCAGAGAGAGAGGTGGGAAAGAAGTTGAATGATCCAGAGGGCAAATCGATGGAAACCAGCCAATGTTAGTCTTTGTTAAACTCTGAAATATCTAGGATATCCATCCCTTTAAGATCTGAACACCTGTCGTACATGCAATACTGTTCCTATCAAGTCAGGTCAGAGACCGACTCGGGCCCACAGGTCAGAGAGCAAATGTCCTTGTTTCATCCTGAGTTCGTGGAATTAGTAACTGGAGGTGTGACGCGGAGTGGCTGGAAGCCCTCACTTAAACTCATGCCCTAAGTACGTGCAGATGCTCCGAGTTCATTTAGAGAGCCAGAGCCAAACAACTGCGAAGCACTGATCGTCCACCTTGATCATACATTCGAAATTACATGGTGGAGGACCAGAGTGCTTATCTGCAAAGTGTCTGCCAACAATGTGTTCCAGGGAGTGTCCCTTCCCAGCTAGGGGTCCCACCAGTGCCATCGTCCCATCCTCTCTAACCTGTCCCCCACACTCCCCAGCAGTTCAAGCCGCTGTGTCACTGCCTTGAACTGGAAAGACTCCTCCCCGCAGGCCCGCTGGCAGCATGGTGGGCCTGCCTCCACCCCATGGCTGATGTGCAGCTGCGTGCTCTGACCTCAGATTCTGCTGGGCTCCTTTGCCCCCCGGCCCTGCATAGGGGTGAGGTCATCAGAGGACGGTGTTGCCCTCTTGTCCTCGTGGGGCTCTCCCTCGCATCTGCTCTCCCTGGCTCAGAGGGGATTGCGGTAGCCTATCCTGCCCGGGGCGTCTGCAATGTCAGGCAAAGTAGGAGGTAATGTACGAATAGCCCCTTGCAGGCTGTTCGCCCATGTTCGCCTCACCATATCTTTCATAAGGTGCCCACTTTCTTCTCGCAGTAAAGGGGCTCAGGCGAGGAGAAGGTAAGCTAGAGTTGCCACAGGACTTCAGCCAGTTTCTGACATTCCTCCTCCCTCCTGAATAACTCCCTGGGAGCCTGAGCCCATGTCTGTTTCATCCCTTCTGTTTTTTCGGTCATTTGAGTGCTTGGCTGAAAGACTGTGTCCACCTCCCCCGCACCCTGCTCATTCCCAGGAGGCACCACCGCTCTTAAGATTGCTCCTTCCTGCAGCTTCTCATGGCTTCTTCTAGGGGTTTCTTCATACTCTAGGTAACAAGTACCCACAGCTACTTTCAACAGATCCAATTTGATGAACGCACCAACTATCTGCTGTGGTGTAGATGAGGATTTATCCGTTTTAGCTTTCCCTGCTGGGTTTAGACCAGACCTTTGCTCAGTCTTTGCAACCCAGATATTATTGAGTGAATAAATCTTGCAGGCAGCTCTGAGTTCAAAATAGACTGACCCCTGAGTTCCTGGTCAGTCAGGCAGTTTCCAGAGGAGAGGGCTGAGGGTCTGCTCACCAGGGACTGAGGCCCACCCAGTCAGGCTCCACGCAGAGTGCCGTGCTGGGCCCTGATCCTGTGACCTGAGGCCTTCCTGTGGTTCACTTTCATATTGGAGCCTGTCCTTCCAAAATGCCTAGGCAGCCTCCTGTGTTAGGATCCTCGTGGAAGCCATGACCCATGGCCTATGCAGGTCGGACATGAGATGCCCAGAAAGGTCAGCCCCCAGTTTCAAGGGTAGAGGGCACTGAGCGAGACCCTGGCAGGACCCCATTCCCAACATTGATCGCTCCTCCTCCTGCAGCTCTCCCCACGCCTCCCAGCTTAATTCATTGTCGCCCTCCTTTTCTGTGCAGAGTCCTGTTTCCTGTTCGCCCTGACACAGCAGAAGCTGCCCCCCTTTTGCCAGCAGGGCTACCTGAGAATGCAGGGGCTCGCAAGCACCGAGAGCCTTCGGCAGCACGGAGTGGAGAGCGGGCTCCTGCGGGGCTACTCCGCCGCGGGCAGGCACCCGGAGGACAGCAGCCAGCAGCCTGGCGAGCGTGACCCAGCAGGGC